GGGTCGGGAGCCCTGAGTCTGGCGGCACTGTGGACAGTGGGCTGGAGGGATGGGAGGCAGGGGTGAGCACAAGGGAGCCCGCTGGAAAGCTGAAGCAGAGATGCCTGGGGCAGGAGAAGGTGATGGGGGCTGAGCAGGGCACGGGCAGCGGGGTCGAGAGAACAGGGTGAGATCAGAAGATTGCCCCCAACTCTTTATCATGAAGCTCTTCATCCTGCAGGAAAGTTGGAAGAACAGTTGGCGACCACAGTCTCCACTTTGATTCAACAGTTATTACCGTGTTCCTCTTTTGCCTTCGCTCAGTAGATAGATAGCGAGACAGGTAGATTTCCTTTTTCTGAACCACTTGAAATTGCAGTCATGACAATGCTTTGCCCCAGGGCCCTTCAGCTGCATCTCCCCGCGTAAGGTCATTTTCCTCCTTAACCACAAGACCAGTATCACACTGGAAGTTCAACAGGATGGCATCTGGTGTCCAGTCCGAGTTCAGATTTCCCCAGGTATTCCAGGAATGTCTTTCTGAGTTGGGTTTTGTTTGTTTTGAAATCCAGGGACCCGTCAAGTTTCCAGGATTGCATTTGGTTACATCTCTTTGGCTTTTAAGGAAGATTCGGGAGGTGGAATGTGCAGGGCTTGGTGAGTCATTGTATGTCGGGGTAGAGGGCAGGGACGAGTCCGGGGGACGGCTGGGGCTCTGGCTTGGGCAGCACGGATGCGGTTCCCCAGACGAGGAGTTCCGGAATAGGAACAGATGTCGAGAGAGGAGCGTCTGGTAGGCAGGTGGAAATGCAGGGGTGACATTCAGGGTCATGGTGGGAGACAGATTGGAGGCTGCATGGGAGTCCTGGAGCTGCCATAACAAGTGACCACAAACTGGGTGCTTTAAAACAACAGAAATTTATTCGCTCGTGGTTCAGGAGGCCAGAAATGCGAAATCACGGGATCAGCATGGCCGTGCTCCCTCCATAGACTCAGGGAAGGATGCTTCCTTGGTCTTCCAGCCTCTGGTGGTTTCCGGCGATCCTTGGTGTACCTTGCGTTACAGCTGCATCCCTCCGACCTCTGCCCGCTTCTGGTACTTGACCTTCTCCCCTTTGTGTCTTCACTCGGTCCTCTTGCAAGGATGTCGGTCTCTGGACTTAGGGCCCACCCCATTCTAGTGTGACCCCATCTTAACTAACTGCATCTGCAAAGACCCTATTTCCAAATAGGCTCACATGCTGACGTTCCAGGTAAACGTGAATTTTAGGGGGGACACGATTCAACCCACTACAGGGACCATATAACTGTCTAGATGGTCATTGAAACCTCAGGAAAGGATGTGATTCCCCGGGGAGTACAGATGGAGAGGAGGGCTCGGGATGGAGCCTCATGGGATCCCCATGTTTAAGGGGGTCGCCGTAGGGTGAGGAGCCCTAAAAAGCGACCGGGGGTTTGGCCACAGCTGGGAGGGGGAGGAGGGTGTGGGGTGAACAGGGCAGAGTGCCGTGGGTACCAAGTAAGAGATGCGCTGAGCCGGGGCTCTGGATTCCAGGAAGAGAGCAGTTTCCGGGGACTGCTTGGGGAAAACCCAGACCGCACGGGATTTTGGTTTTAACTTTCGCACACTGGCCTTGGAGCAATCTTTGAGGCCAGTGGAGTAGTCAGTGGCTCTTTTGATGCATTGCTTCTCTGATGCTGTCAGTGCTTCCTGTAGGACCGGAAGCCCCTCCAAATTAGGGACCCACACCTACTCTTGTTCACCGTGACACTCATAGCCCCCAGGACAGTGCCAGCATGTAACAGGCATTCGGAGTACCTGTTAAGTGAGCCGGTGACTGGGGCCAGCCTCCTGGCTACCGCTGGGCCTTTGATCTGGCCGAGGTCCCCAGTGTCGGAGAAGGGGCACCCCTGATGCTGTTCACCCCAATACTCACCACCTTCACGCTCCCCACGCAGGACGAGGCAACACGTGGAGCCACTGAGAGGGAAACCCGTCCCTTCCCCTACCCCCGACTCCCTGAGTGTGGAAGGAATGAGGGAGACTACATCGTAATAATAATAATCACAGCGGACCTGCACGGGCGGGCTGGGAATCCAGACCTCCGTGTGGCTGCCACGGTCCTTGTGTCTGCCCAGCAGGCGTCCCCCAGGCCCAGTGCATTGGCCCCGCCGGTCAGCCTGCCCTTCCTTCTCCACCGCCTGCCCCAGACGGCCTTAGCTCAGCCCAAAGCCCAGAGGAGCCACTCCTGGCTCCGCCTGGCTCGCCACGCCGCACCAGGGAGGTTTGCTGCTCTGGATGGGTTTGGTCTCTTCAGTTTTTACTCTGAGTCCTTAATCTCTTTCTCACAAGAGACTGTAACTTGTCATCCCCAGGCAGGTTGCCGCTTGGCCAGTGGGTGGGAACCTGCGGCTCTGCTCCCACACCCCTCTGGAGCCCCAGCTGGCACAGCTGCAGCGGGAGGAGCCTGCAGGCGTGGGAAAGGGGCAGAGCCACCCCCACCCTGCCCCCGCTCCTCCTGGCGGCCGGCTGGGGGCCCGCCTCACTGTCCCAGGGGGCCCCAGGAAAGGGGGTGGGAGGGAGGAAGCCCCCTCTCCCTCTTTTTTTTTCCATATATAAGTGCATCTTTGGGGGCTGTCATCTGGGAATTCAATTTTATTTATTTATTTATCTATTTTTAATTTTTTTGGCCGCGCTGTGCGGAATGCGGGATCTTAGTTCCCCAACCGGGGATGGAACCCGTGCCCCCTGAATTGGGAGCACGGAATCTTAACCACCGGACTACCAGGCAAGTCCCCCACCTCTCCCTTTTGAGGAATTTCCCTTCCCTCAGGCAGAGCAAATCTGAGTACCCCCCATCTTTGGGAAGAGGGGGTGAAGTGTCCAGTAGACGCCCCAGCCTCAGTGAACACCCTCCTCCCAGCCTTTGCGCTGCTGGTGCCTCTGCATGGACCTTCTTCCCCCACTCTCCTCACATGACTAACTCTTACTTGTCCTTTCTGTACTGCCTTTGATGTTGCTTCTTCCAGGAAGACTGCCCTGCTTTTCCTGGGCCAGAGGTGGTGCCTTCCCCCAGGCTCCCAGACCCCACCACCTCCTTTCCCCTGCACTCTGTCTACACCCACGGGGGATTTGGGTTCCTCGAGGGCCGAGGCCATGTCCTCTTGCCCTGCCTGTGTCCTCGGCACCTGGGCCCATGGAACCTCATAGACTTGCTGTAGCTGGGATGGGAGTTGGCCTGGTTACCTCTCTCTCCCTCCTCTCCCAGGACCAAGCTCATCGCCTCACTGACTGAGGCTCCCGGCTTCCCCCTTCCCCACTGGGACCACAGCCAGGAGCTGCACGAAGAGCTGTGTGAGGGACGGGGCAGGAGAGGCAAGCAGGGTGAGAGGGGCTCCTTGGCGGGGTGACCTCCTGGAAGAGGTGACTCTATGGCACGACAACTCAGAGACTGGGAGACGTCAGCTGTGTGGGAGGTCAGGTCAGAGAGTTCTGGGAAAAGAGGAACAGCCAGTGCAAATGCCCTGGGGCAGGAACCAGCCTGGCAGGTTTGAGAGCCACTAAGGCAGCCAGTGTGACTGCTGCTGGGTGAGTTGTGGATTTCATTCCAAGTGTGTCAGAAACCAGGGAGGAACACGATCTGACTCAGCCTGGGCTGCTGCGGGCGGGCTTTCCTGAGCCAGGGTGGCCTGTTGGGTTGAGGCTGAGGGACAGGGCTCGAGGGGGATTCACGGCGGTCCCCACTCCTGCCCCCATCCTGCAGACGCCGGCCAGTACTTGGAGGTATTCCTGGAAGGCACTGCAAGGAGGAAAGCACCCATGTGGGGAGCAGAAGCACAGCTCAGCTTCCGGCTCCCAGAGGTAATATTAATCTTACACAGAGAGAAATAGGTCAGGGGCGAGAGAACCTGTTTTTCTGCCACCCACAGGGATGGAGACTGGGGCGCAAAGAGCACTGAGTGGGATCTCAGTTCTCCGACCAGGGATGGAACCCGTGCCCCCTGCAGTGGAAGCACGGAGTCTTAACCACTGGACCGCCAGGGAATTCCCCAGCACACAAGCCTTTAAACAAGGACAGCATGTCTTTTGTCTTAAACCCCATCTGGGTTTAAGATATTTGCACAAAGGTCTAAGTTAAATGTAAACAGGTGTTAAATTATTTGACAAAAAGGACCCGTCTTTTCCTCTCTTATTGGAAAGACCCTGCACTGCCACAGGGACCAGCTGTGTGACTGGAGCTGGGGTCCCACCCTGGCCCCTGGGGCATCCAATAAGGTGTGCCCACCTGAGCCAAGCACTCCGGTCTCCCCACCACCACTTACCCCCAAGTGAGCATCCTGAACCGCAGGCTGGAATGCGCAGAAAATGAACTCAGCACCTGACTCTGAATCCTTCGCCCTCTGAAAAAACGTCTATTATGAAATAGTTCATTTATACAAAAGAACAGAGGTGAAAATAATGAGATAACATGGACGCCCACGTACCACCGACCACTTAAGAAATAAAACAAGCCAGGACTAATCACGCCTTCTAGTGCACCTCATGCCCGGCTCCCCTGCACCCCACCCCACAGGTAACCAAGACCCTGGATTTCACTTTTATCTTCCCCTCTTCCTGGGTTCCTCCTGCCTCGTGCCAGCTGCTCTGTGGTCTTAGAGCGCACGTAGGACGTTGGTAGGGAATGTTTAATGTATTTGTTTCCTGTAGTAAACTGGACTGCTTATGACAACAGAAATGTATTCTCTCCTATCCTGGGGGCCCTAGACTTCTTTTTTCTTTTCATTTATTTTTTAATTTTTGGCTGCGTTGGGCCTTCGTTGCTGAGCGTGGGCTTTCTCTAGTTGTGGCGAGCGGGGGCCACTCTTCGTTGCTGTATGCGGGCTTCTCCTTGCGGTGGCTTCTCTTGTTGCGGAGCACGGGCTCTAGGTGCGCAGGCTTCAGTAGTTGTGGCACGCAAGCTCTAGAGCGCAGGCTCAGTAGTTGTGGCGCACGGGCTTAGCTGCTCCGTGGCATGTGGGATCTTCCCAGACCAGGGCACGAACCCACGTCCCCTGCATCGGCAGGCAGACTCTCAACCACTGCGCCACCAGGGAAGTCCCGGCCCTAGACTTTTTGATCAAGCACCTCCAACACCAGAAATCCAAAACGAAGACCAGAAATGAGGCCAGAAATCCGAAATGAAGGTGTGGGCAGGGTTGGCTCCTTCTCGAGGCTCAGAGGGAGAATCTGCCCCACGCCGCTCCTCTAGCTCCCTGGGGTGGCCCAAACCCCTTGGCGCTCCAGGGCCTACAGCCGCATCCCTCCAATCTCTGCCCCCGTCTTCACACGCCTTCTCCCCTGTGTGTCTGCGTCCTCTCCTCTTTCTATAAGGACACAGTCATTCTATGTGGGGCCCACCCTAAATGCAGGATGGTCTCATCTTGACATCCTTAATTTGATTACATCTGCAAAGACCCTTATTCTAAGTAAGATTGCATTCACAGGGACCAGGACAGATCTACCCGCCCACCGTTACATAGAGGAAGGTGCTCGATATTTACTTAGCGATGGAGGTGTTGATGCAAAAGTCTAGGGTACCCCGTAGAGTGGGAATGTTTCTGGCATGGCCTCTCCTTTCAGGGTGGGACCACATCTTACGCCTTGAGGTCCCCCAGCTGCTCAATGGGATGGAGGAGATGGGGTCCGGTCGGGGCTGCTGGAGGCTCACTCAGGAGCCCTCTCAGGCTTATTAAGATGGGCCAAGCACAGAGGCGCAGCCAGGTCTCCCCGCCTGCACCTGGCGGCCACAGCACCGCCATCTTGCCCACCACCCTCCCCCATCAGACTAGGTTAGAGCAGCGCTGCCACTGCTGTCAGCCCTCCTTGCTCCCATCCTTTCCAGCGGGGCATGTCTCACCATGTGATTGAAGAAATGCTGGGGTAATTACTTCTTTAAGGCTTATCTCCTCCCCAGGATCCTGCCTGTCCGGTTCCTTCCGCCCCTGTAGGCCCTCGAGAGATCACTGTGCCCTGAATGAATGAGGTCAGGTGTGAGTGATCCGAACCCTGGTCCGAGGGAGCCTGCAGGGTGGGCTGCGTCGCAGTGAGGCACCCGACCCGTCCAGGGGGAAGGAATTGCTCCACATGGGCTCCCTGGGACCCTTCCGGGGACAGCAGCTGTTCCACAGGTGATGACTGCCCACCTGCTCGGTGCTGGAGATCAAGGTAGAGAGACAGGCAGAGGGGCAGAGTGCTGCCAGGCCCCGCCTCCCGACCGAGAGCAGACCCTGCCCTGGGCCCTCCCCCATGCCTCCTCCATCCTCCCTGTGCAAAGCCTCTGCCTACAACTCCCACGCTGGGAAGCCCGGGAAAGAGATCCCACGTGTTCCCATCCTGCCCGGTGTGAAAGCCCAGACCAGCCAACGCTGTGAATTAATTACCGCGGACGGACAGGCCCTGGGATGGGCACTTCCCAGAACTCCGGCTGTGAGCCTGCCCGGCTTTTCTTTGGCGCTCAGCTCTTAGAAATCCCTTGGGGCAGCACCTCCCAGCACAGCGTGGGCGGATTTGTGTTCCAGTTGTCCGGCTTCTTCCGGGAATTGGCAAACTCCTTTTCACAGCCCTGCCCCTCACACCCTGCCTGGAGCCTTCATGGGTGTTCACACACTCTGCTGCTGCCTGGGTCAAGGAAGGCATTACTCAGGTCTAAATATTTTGATCCAAAAAAAAAAATCCCCACACCCACTGCCCAAGAAATGGGCCTCGTTTCCCTTTCTTCGTCCTGAACCGCAGCCAGCAGGTCCTGAGGACGCTGGGCCGGAGAAGACGGTGACCGTGCGCCCCGTCAGTCCCTGCCAAGCTGGGAGCCACCCCTGCCAACAGCACCTTCTCATCCGGGCCAGGAGAAGGTACGGCCAGGGGGTTGCCTGGGCAGCGGGCAGCGGAGGAGCTGAGGCAGGGTCGGTGAGGAGGGTGGGGTGGGGCAGGGGCACCGTGGGGTTGCAGCAGGCGGTCAAGGCTCCATTTGTGGGAAGTAAGTTTGCCTCATATGTGGGGATGCTTTTCCTTTCACACTGGATCTGACTCACCTGCTAAAACCTGCTATTTTGACCTAAACTTACATGCTATCTAGAGAAGCGGCCTGTAATGAACATCAGATGTGTGAAAATCTATACAGCACAAGAAAATCACAGGTGCCTCCCTAAACGTGGTATAAACACACAGGATGATGGGAATTCCCTGGTGGTCCAGCGGTTAGGACTCGGTGCTTCCACTGCTGGGACCTCGGGTTCGACCCCTGATCGGGGAACTAAGATCCCAGAAGCAACGCAGCGCAGCCAAAAAAAACCCCAAAACAACAACAAAAACCACACACACACAATTAGACAACGTCAGAAGCCAGGTTGAAGAAATCTTCCAGAAGCTACACGTAAAGGCAAATTGTCATTAACCGTTTACAGACTCACCAATGTGGGGTAAAGAAACGACTGTAGGTGTTCTTCAGGCATAGTAGTAAAAAATATCATTAAAAAATGGGGATTTGAGAACCGCCCCCAGCTCGGGTATTACCAGATTCCTTTTTAAAACAAGTTTCTCAATGGGGTAAAATGTATGCTGCAGTCCTTGAGTCCACCCTGGCCGTTCCAGCTTGGACTAGTCAATGGTCAGACCTTGTAAATGGAAATGTGATAGGCAGGAAGTTAACACTGAAGGTGGGGGGAGATTACTGGTGTATCTACCTCATAACCAAGGACGCTGCTGAGGCAGGCTGTCATGGGCAGATCTGTGTTCCCCAAATTCATGTGTCGGAGTCCTGACCCCCAGCATTTCAGAATGTGACTGTATTTGGAGTTGGGGTCTTTCAAGAAGTGATTAAAGAAAAATGAGGTCACTAGGGCGCGTCCCAATCCCATAGGACTGATGTCCTTATGAGAAGAGGAGAAAAGGACACAGACTCACACAGAGGGACGATCCCGTGAGGACACAGGGAGAAGATGGCCGTCTACAGGCCGAGGAGAGAGGCCTCAGGAGGACCCAGCCCTGCCCACACCTGGATCTGGGATGCCAGCCTCCAGGACTGGAGACAATAAATGTCTGCTGTTTAAGCCCCCCAGGCTGTGGAACTTTGTTACAGCAGCTCTAGCAAACTAAAACACATGCCAATCTCAAAGAAAAAGTTTTTCAGCTTTTTTTTTTGTTTTTTGGGGTTTTTTTGCATGAAATGCTAAGCCTTTGATTCCAAATTAACTTGGTGTTAGCAGTGAAGATGGACAACCAGACCCTCCAAGGCAAAGATCCAAAATGCACCTAAGAGCTCTGAGCTTGACACACGGACTCATCCGTTAATCGACGCTGAGTTCATGTCTGTCCACCTCTCTCTGGCTTCTCCCTGGGGAAACTCATTTCCCGTCCCATGTAACGGTAACGGTGGGGAGCAGAAGGGCAGAGAGGAGCTCTCAGCCACGGGGCAACCTCAACGCTACTTCTCGATGTAGGGGATCCAACTGCTGCGAGCCCGTCTCCAGAGCCATTCATGGCTGCAACACGTATGACTTTCAAACCAGATGCAGTTTTTGTTTGCTTGTCTGTTTCGACGCTGGACACAGCTCTGCCGTCCTGATTTACTGTCTGATTTCAAGTGGCTCGACATGATCACGTCTGTTGAATAAATGAATGAAATGGATAAAAATGGCCACGCCCCACAGTTGTCATGTCATCTATCAAAGTTAAAGTGATTTTAAGGAAGTGTCAGGAAGAAAGAAAAGGCTTTGCCGGCTGCAGTGAGATCATTCATTCATTCAAGGAAAGAGCTCAAACAACACGCTCGTTTCTTGTTCTGACTCCCAGGGCCCTGGGCACGGGTGCTGGGTGGCACAGCCTCTCAGTGTGACCCTCCTTCCTCAGTAAGTCAGCAATCGTGGTTTCCAAATTCCCAACAGTCATCTTTGAGACTTGGGAATGAGGTATCAGAATTCCCCAAACCCTAATTATGTTTCAAAACACTGTATTTATATGATTTCAATAATGATGGACCCTAGTAAGCAGGTTCAGAGGTTTTCTGTAAAAAAAAAAAAAAAACATACACTCGTGGCTTCTTATTATTATAAACTAATATATTCTGACAATATTACATATTTTAATAACATGTGGGAAGGATCTCTATCTGATGTAGATATTGGATAACAGAAAACGTAAAAAGAAGGGACTATTAGCAAAAGACAAATGCCAATTAAAAATCATTTTAGGGGCTTCCCTGGTGGCGCAGTGGTTGAGAGTCCGCCTGCCGATGCAGCGGACGCGGGTTCATGCCCCGGTCCGGGAAGATCCCACATGCCGCGGA